ACCTATAGAAACAGCCGTTAAGCTGCAACACCTGTTTTGGGCCGCGAGCTGCAAAGGTATGGTCTGTATGACATCCTACATATGTGCAAGGTAAAAGTGTACATATTACATGGAGTGAAAATACACTTCCCAACACCAAGAGCCACATGGAAGACAGTCGACCATGAAACATATAGCTTTTGAAGCTGGGGAATGTGCTATTGAAAAAAAAGTAATATGTCTTTCAATGCTACGTATGTTTTCAGGAGAGTATATATACAGTATATGTAATACACACATGCAATAATCCGTGCCTGGAGGTGGTGACATGCCACCGGAAAATGGCGAGCCCTGCAACCTCAACGGATTACAAACGGCACACACATCAGGACATGAATACAGAAAGCCTTCAGTGCCATTGGGTATACTCAGACAAGCACAGGGTCCCATTGGAGGGTGGAGAGAAACCCATGCGAGGTGGAGGGACTGGTGTTGACGCCTGCTGCAAGATTGTCCAAAAGGATGCACGTTGTAAGTGAGATACACCGTGGCCTGAACAGCGCCGGGCTTGTAGGTGGGATATGCACTTACTGGGCCTGAAGCACAATCTGTTGGTATGTCGGAGAACGCAAAGCTTTCATCAACACAAGAGCTGATGGTGCGACTTCCAGAAAGTCTGCTTGTTGGCGACGCATCTGGCGGAGTCGAAATCCCCTGACGTGGGAAAGCAAAGGTATTGCAAGATGTTGCCTTGCGTCCGTATTATGTATGGCTTTGCAGCCATCTTGCAACATCACATGAGAGTTAGTGTCCAGGCCTCTTTGAAGAATTTGATCTTGGACATACCATTCTCATTGAGAATGTCCGGCCTTCGAGCACAAAGGTGCATGGCAGCCCAGGATCTATAATGTGACTGACTACTCGCGGTAGCCTGGAGTTGCTCACCGAAGATGTTCTTGAAGCCTTGTTGAAGAAATGCCGAAAAATCAAAGGTACACACAAGAAAATGTACAAAAGCCACACACAAGCATCTAAGCTCCTGTCGTCAATAGCATCAGCAGACGGTTCCGTTTTCGCCGTGCTGATGCTGGGACCTCAGGTAGCACAATGACCATACAACGACTCCAAAAGTTGTAAAAACATATCATTTTGTCAGCCACAATGCGGCAAACAAAAGGCTTTGGATCTAAGAAGCAACTGCCTGATGCAATAGGCGAGGCATTGGCGATGAGCACCTACGCAGCTGATACAATGGTGATAAGGAAGGCTGCAGCAAATAATGAGTGCAAAGATTAGCATGTTTGATCGAGCTGTTCCTCTGGGAGTCAAGCCGGATCAAAGCAAGCTGGCTGCATCTGCGAGGTGCATTGCTGGCTGTGGTTCAATGAAGTTCCCTCCAGAAAGCAATCTGCTCTATGAGTCATGCTATAATTTCACCTTGTTCTGAAGAACTTCATGGTCTCATGGTCTTTGTATCTAAGGAAAAGTATCTTGCGAAAAGCTTGTGCGTCTCATGCAAGTTAAGAAAAAATGATGCAATGCTGTCTGTGCAAGTGTGTGTGCGGACTTGCGGCTGCTGATTCACAGCTTTTTGCCACTCATGTGAATATGAAGCTATGGCTGCACCGAACATGCAATGCGCATGGGCAAGCGACAAGGAAAAATGATGTTGGCAATCCTCCATGCCCCACCCATGTACAACTGTTGCTAGAAGAAAAAGCGATGTTTGCATTTGTCCACATTCCATAGATAGTTCTTAACCACAGAAACTGCATGCATTAAAGTTGGAATGACAGGCCAACTTCCCAATGTAGCGGCTGCTGATAAACGGTACCGCAGCAGGAGCACTCGTTCTCAGCGGAGACCGCTTCTGCTCGAGCTAAGGTGCTCAAGACAGACCTGCTCAAAACAGCTGGTGGTTGTGAAGGTTGCCCAACCGGAGGCCATCGTTAGTAGGTTGGAGACCATCGCAAGTAGGTTGGAGGCGATCGCTAATAGAAACAACTAAAAAAGAAAAGGAAAGAAGGTCTAATACAGTTTGCTATTTGGTTGGAGGCCATCGCTATTAGGTTGGAGGCCATCGCTTCACAACATCGTCTCTTGCTGCTGCCGTGGCCTTTCAATCCCTTTCACATTGCTACGAGTGGCGGGGCTCCTGCACCCAAGAAAAGTCATTGAAAGTCTACCAAAAGCACTGGCCAATTCTAATCCTGAAGCAACACACTTTGCTTGGACCTCTTAGGCTCTTGCTTGGTGAAATCTGTGTCGCCCATATCAACGCTGAGCTCCCATTTCAGTGCAGTTTTCTCAAACCAGCCTGGCGGCATTTGTGTCAACACTATCCTCGAGCATCTCGCCAGCTGAAATTCCAAAACTGCAAGATGTCTTCATATCTCTTGCATTCCATACTCAAACAGGCGCAGCTTTACGAGAAGCTGTGCATTGGACACATATGCCTCAAAAACAACCCAAACCTAAAGAACGACGCGAGAACCCATGAACGCCCGGCCCAGTTGACTCAGTGTCCTGCGATGATCTCCACGCTGCTGAGTCATGTAGGCTGTTCTGCCCTTGTCAGAGTCCTTGTCCAGTAACAGCTGTTGAGAAGGCGTTTAGCGACCACAACCCTGGTGGCAGAGTATATAGAGAAATGCTATCTTCTGATGCCCCTTCAACAGATTCCATGGATGGTAAAGGAAATTGTCTGCTGTGCCTCATGACCAACTCTTTTGGAGAAGACCTGGCCACTGTCGGGGTCTCTACGAAAAAAGGGCAGGAATACAGGAAAGAGTGAGTCATGAGCTGCTTTTGCAGAATTCACAACATCGAATTGTGCTTTGGCCTGCTTTTGCTGCGGATCCTTGAACACAAGCATACACCTTACACAAAAAGTGGGTCGATCCAGCGTCCAAAAAACCCTCTTTGCATGTTATGGCACTACTGTCCTTCTGATTCTGATCGAGGTTGGAACTCAACACCTGGATTCTCAGCGTGCCTGTACTTCACTGTCAGGACCTGTCAGGAACAAGAACGCTACTAGGAGCAAGGGCATCGCTACTAGGGGCTCCTGGCATCGCTACTAGGAGCGAGAAGAAATGAAAAGCAAAAATGATTACCAATGAATACAATAGCAAAGCATCGCCAATGAATACAGTAGAACGTGTGTGCAAGGCCTGATGCTGAGGCACCGTTTCAACGAAGCACTTTTCCTGACCCTGCATAGTGCAAGAATTCAGCAAAGGAACTCATGAAGAGAATGTCATTGCTCCTCATGGAGGGTGAAGTAAGCTGCCTGGCATAAAGTAGATCATATACAAATGGACTGCTGAAAGTCTACCTATTTTGCCTCATCTCACCATTTAGGTGTGTGACTTAGGACTCTCGGAAGTAGACATGGGGCCTTGACGAGGAAGAGTCTCAGGCTTGCTAGGAGCAGCCAAACCTTGGCAAAAACAGAGGGGTTGGAATTAAGTGGGTACCTCGGGGGTAGCGATTTTATAGTGCTAAAATGCTGGGACCACCCCCCCTCCAATGAGGGTCACTTTTTGACCCTATAAAATTGAGGATAACGTAGGAAAAGAGTTCAACAACAAAGATTCAGCTCTATAGAGTTGAGGGCCATCAGTCTGTCAAAAGCTGTAGAAAGTTGTGAATATTGGTGGTTTTTGTCTATAAAAATGCAGGTCCCAAGGTACTCCTGAACAGGTGTGCTTGAGTTGTAGTAAGAACCTGGTTCTCTATAGAATCAAGGTACATGACAGGTACATGGGTCTCACAAAAATGTAGTAAGAACCTGGTTCTCTATAGAATCAAGGTACGGGGGTCTCAAAAAACATTAAAATGCAACTTTCTTGGAAGGCATTGATTTGCCAGTTGGTAGGATGCATTAGGATTTTCCAAAGTGTTTCATATAAAGCGTTCACTTGCTAGGATGCTCCAAATTTGCTAGTGTCATCCTGACTCATCCAAGATCATCCAAGAACCCATTCCCCAGGGTTCGTTTGAGCAATCCCAATTGCGTACTCTCGGAATCAGGCGAGTTTTGAACTGGATGCATTGAAAAAAACATCAGTCTCTATAGAATTGCAGTTCCTAACATGCAAAACCATGCTAATATATAAGTCTCTATAGAATCAATATACCTAAGACATCCAGAATCCCTTCGCTATACTTATAAGCCTCTATAGAATCAAACTTGTAAAAAACAACAATTCTCTATAAAATCGAGGATCTTGAAGGACAGGACTTTACAACCTCCATATGAGCCAAGAAAAAATGGCTAAACAAATCGTCTTATCGGGGTCCCAACCCCCGCGATTCTGTAGAAGAAATTCCATCCCCTATGCAAAAACATTGTCAATAATCGGCGCATTAGCAAGAAACTGTGCTTCTGCCAACGATGTCCTCTATCGTGTCAGGCTAACAATACAAAGGCCCCAGCTCGCTGCATGCCGCACCCTAGGCGGCCTGCGTACTTCAACATTGAGTTTGCACCACATATGCTGCAACAATCACGCAAAGTTTAGCAACAAATCCACACGAGACACTCCCAGAGGCACTCCCAACAAACCCTTCGGGGAAGGTGCCTAGCCGGGCCTAGCCCTAGGGCCCCTAGCTGCTCTGCCTCAGCTGTTCGGACCCTCCTCCGCCTCATTCGCTGCCTTTTGATCCAAACGCTGCAAACGCAACTGCTTCGGGCAGGCTGAGAGCGAGCGAGCGGAAGAAAATAGTAGAAGACGAAGAAGAAGAAGAAGAAGAAGAAGAAGAAGACAAAACAAGGCATTTCAAATCATCAGTGCCAATTTTAACAACTGTTGCGCTGTCCCTAGCTGGACAGCCATATTAAACTGACCTGAAGGATCTGCAACGGTCTTTGCAAACCACAACGCAATGCAACAATATCCATCAAATTGTCTCCAACATTCTATACACACCTAAAATGACCTAAAGCATTTGTTTGCACGGTGGCTGCAACAACAATGGAACGCCTGCACACTCTACACTCTGGACCATTCACCTTTTTCGTGTCGCACGTGGGTCTTGCACAAAACCACCCCTCAAGTTCTGCTGAGCTAGCTGGTCAGTGATGTTCACAGGCCACGGATGTGGTATCCACTAGCTTGCGCAGAAATTGGGCCTGGATACGCTTGCATGTGAGCAAAATAAAAAACATATCGAAGTCAAGCAAGAGCGCCAGCCTTTCGCCAGTCTTTGGCTTCTCCCCTGGCAGTCAAGCAGCTCAACCTCTTCTTGCCAAGCAAGACTTTTGCAAACCATTATATGTATGACAGGCCAACAGCGCCCTCTCATACATCCTTCCATGGTTGATTCTGCAATGTTCACCGTCATGTCGTAGGTGCCTGCGAAGTTACACGTGATACAAACTGTACCAAAACTTGAACAGCTGAGCTTGCTCTTTTTTGAAGCAGGAACTACCCAGCTTTCCTTTATATGTTGTTCAACTCCATCTTTCCTGAAGGAAACGATTATCAATCGTTTGAGTACTTCAGTAGTTTTACAATGGTTTACTCACACAGCCCGACCATAGTCAGCCCAGTTGATTGTCAGCTTGTCTCCATCCAAAGACCAGTGCCTCAGAGGTTTGAAACTGTCTGATTGCGGTCTATGACTCATGATTGCATGAGAACAAGACGAAGTTCGGATATGTTCAGATGCATTCTTTCGCCTTACTTTTACTTTGGCAACTCAACTTGCAAGTCTGGGGCGCAGGATCCTTCATCTGTGAACCAAGTCCCGCAAACAATCCAGTCAAACAATGTCAAACATTCCCTGGATACGCGGTCTCTCCTAGTCGCTAGTCTCAACAAAACTCTTTGCCCATTCATTGTCAGGTTCGCCCATCTTGGGGAAGATTCCTCCACAAGGCAGGGAGTCCAAGAGGAATCTCCTTACTACTCACCAGTCCAGGCAAATGTCAAATGTCAAGCTCAATCGTTGACAGGATCTTGTTGAAAATGCTTGGATCTGAGGAATCCGACAAAGAGGAATTCTGCGACGAGTAGTCACCCGGCCAAAGATGTGCATTGCCAGGTTTGCAAATGACTTGTGAAAATCTCTGCATGTCTGTCAAGAGGAATCTCGCTGCTCATCACTAGTTGAGCCAATCTCATCACTAGTCCAGCCAATCTCCTTGCTTAGTCTCTGCCAGGTTCGCAATCTCGCCAATTCATCGCTTTTTCTGCCAAGCAATACTTCTTCGAAATTGTCAGTGTTGAAGTGAGCAAGGTCCACTTGATGCTGCCTGAGGAGCCAAGTATCACTGAACTGCTGGCCGCAAATAAGACAGGTCTGATGTCGACCGTCTAAGCTTGCCAGCTCAAAATGTCTAGTGTGCTGCATCTGTTCTTTTCGTGCTTGCCATTGATCAGCCTTTGGGAGAGTGCTATCATCGGGGCAAATGAGCTCTTGCAAGGACTCGGCCTCATCAACTTTCACCTGTAGACAAAGTCGCAGCTGCTCCAGAGCTTTTGGATGGACCCTGGTCGTTAAGTTCCTCCCCAATTCCTGAGCATCATATGTTCTTATGAAAGCATGCTTGAGTGTGACCAAACAACAAACGGGGACTTACCAAATTTACCAAGCCTCAATTGGGTCCTCCACATGAAAGCTCTTTCGCTTGCCCCAAAGGTTTCGGAAACGCTCCGAATCGATTTTGTGACGTTCTCCCAGCCGCACTGACAGAACTTCACCATTCCAGTCAAACTCTTTGGCATAGAAATTGAAGAAGCCACGCAGCAAAGTTGCAGCACTTGGAAGGTCTGCAGCACTTAGAAAAGCCATGCTCTGCCACGATACATGTTCGCGCCTTAGAAATGCTGTGTCAAAGCGCTGCTCACCTCAGTCGGGATGCTCACCTCATGTCAAGCCAAAGAAAGAGTCCAATTCTTGGAAACAAATAAGGCGCTCACATTGAACAAGGTGAGATCGTCTGGCCAGTTGATGCAGTGATGGCAGCTGATCGCATACTTGAACCTTGAATAAAAATTAAGGCTAAAGCAGGTGCGAGATGGAAAGCTCAACTCATGCATTCCCGGTATCATGTGAACAGCTGGCAAGTGCACCCAAAAACGTGCCTACTCAACAAACTAAAAGCAAACAATTGCCAAGTTTATGTGAGGTTCATAGTATATTGCCTCAGAGATCAGATTTCTTTTGGTTGGACTGTCCTTTAGCCTAGCAAATCAAAGCTGATAAGTTGAACTGAGGTTAAAGCCATCAATGAAATGACATATGACGGGATATAACCTGACTGTGCGACCACCAGGCGAAAAAGCTGGCAGGGCACCAAACATGCCAAACAGGTCGGTGAATGTTAAAGAATCTGATCAACCTGCCCAGCAGCCATCTTGCTTCTTCAATACACCCGCTGCCCGTGCCCAGTATTTCAGTGCCAAGATCAGGCTCCGAAGTCGAGGATCAAGTTGCACATAGGCACCTCAATATCTCTTGCAATCATGCTTGGCTGTGCCTTTGATCACACTGCCTTGTCCTTGGACTGAGTTCTTCACGGATAAGGTGCGAACTGAAGAGTGGAAGCAACCTCTGGCAACTCAGCACACATCTGCACGTAGAATAAGAGCGAAACGTGTTGCTCGCCACATGTACAGAGACAGCTTCACCAATCGTCACGGTTCCATGACTGATGTTCTCTTCCACCTCCATTCCAAGCTGCCTGCATTTCAAGGCAACCTCACGGAGCATTTCTGAGCGTGACTTTGTCACTTTCGCAGCAGCCTGAGCTCGTTTTAGAGTCATTGGCACATAGATTGTAGCATCAATGTCAGCGTCGGTTTCCGCAGTATCCGTGAAGCAAGAGCCATATCCCAGTATCTCAGCGTCTGAACCCAGGCTTTCCTTCAGGATCCTCTCAATCCTGCCAAGAAGCCTTGCTCTCCGAACGCGATCAAGGGGTCCAGAAGCTACTGCGGCCACAAATTGGGTCAGTTCGGCGGTCATTTGTTCAACGGACTTCTTACCTGGGCCAGGAAATAGGTAAGCGGATGAAAGGAATTGAAAAGAGATGTTAGTGAGAGGGCCTTGTTTAAAATAGGTTCTTCTGCAAGAAAATTGAACAGGTAAACAGCAACAAAGGGAACTCATGGTGCACATAAGAACCATTGTGGGTAGTTGAACTTCTAGAAGATCATGACAAGGTGGGTCCGAGGAGTCCGAACTGCAAGATTTACAAGCCCTGAAAGGCTGTTCGTGACTCAAACCAAGGTTTCACACCGTCAACCTTTTAGCCTTTGTGGGCCCCATCGCCACCCAAGATGCTTTGTCTGGGGCCTGGCTCTTTCGAGGCAAGCAAGCAAGCAAGCAAGCAATCCAGCCAGCCAAGGCAAGGCAGGACACCACAACTGTCACATCCTACAGTATATACATATTTTCCTGTCCTGGGTTGAGGATAAAATGGGAGGGAACATACACAAGGTTGTGAACAGGCACTAAATAAACGGCTTGTTGATCTGCGCAATGGACGTGTGAAAGCTGCTGCAAACGCCGCCATAGACCAGAGGCGGTTGGCAGTGCCTTCCCACACGCAAGGCAAGTCTTTGCTTGCAGCAGCACTCTAGCTATGCTGCAATAACGCAATTCTCGGAAAAAGGAGCATCTGTGTAAAAGCAAAGTAGTCCGTGCCTTTGCGCTGCTTTGCCCACAGAGACAGGGAATCTGTCGCTGTGTACAGCGCTTTAACAGGCTGCGCTGACAAGACCAAACCAGTGCTGCTCAAGGTGGGCGATGCCCGTGAGGCCATGAGGCAAAAAGCGTCCAGACTCACCGAGGGCCGTCAACTCATAGCTCTCCGATCACAGCGTTTCAGGCAGGTCGTGCGCAATAGCCCGGTCAGTTGCCAGGCTGGTTTGATTGCAGCAACCAAGTCATTGCGTTAAGTTTTTAATTTGCTTGCTAGCGTCCAAGTCGCATTGTCTAGTTCAGGGCATCTAGGGTGACTCAAAGATCTGTTCCTGTCAAGCAGAAACCAGGATCTAGTGACTGCCATCCGTGTCGTCTTGAACATGTTATGGCCATATCGCAGTCTCCGTGTTCTGGGTCCATGGGGCCCACAGGGGTTGAATCAAACAGTTGAAAGTTCCTAGTAGCGTCCTTGCAGTAGGGACGCACGTTTAATTTTGGAATTGTTTTCTTTGTTTTCGGATGTCTTTTTTCAAAAACATTGGAATAGAGCAGGTTTCTTATTAGTACCTAGCTAATTACAGCAATTTCGTGTCCTGAGCCGAGACACGGGTGTCGTAGCTGGCCAAATACATTGGAATAGTGCAGGTTTCAAATTACAGTAATTGCTAGCTGATTAGACTGATTTGGGAGCTGTCGCATCTGGCAAAATACATTGGATTAGTGTAGGTGTCAGAGAAAGTCCTACGTTAGCAGAGAAACAGTAAAGAGAAAGAGAACCAGCACAGGAGGCATAATATATGATTGGTTAGAATTTAGAAGTTTATGCCCCGGGGAGTTCACCTTAATTGATTTCGTGGCAGGCGCGGGAGATGAAGTGCAGATTTCGTGGCGCGGGGGGGGTTGGGCGGGGCGCAGCGCCCCCCCCCGCAGCACACCAGATCCAAAGGTTAGAAAGCAAACAAATGGAAAAGCAAAAACAAAAAGAGAAAGGAGAACAGCTGCCAAAGCAGAAAAGCAACAAAAGCAAAGAGCAGAAAGACAAAAAAACACAAAAAGCAGAAAAGCAGTAGAAGCAGAAAAGCAGCAAAAGCAGAAAAGCAACAAAAGCAGCAGAAGCAGAAAAGCAAAAGCAGAAAAGCAACAAAAGCAAAAAAGCAGCAGAAGCAGAAACGCTGCAAAAGCAACAAAAGCAACAAAAGCAGCAGAAGCAGAAACGCAGCAAAAGCAGAATCCGAAAAAAAAATACAAAAAATAAAACCAAAAAATAAAAAAATAAAAATAAAAACGCCTCTTTGCAGTAGTGATGCCAGGAGCCCCTAGTAGCGTCCTTACTCCTAGTAGTACGGCCAGGAGCCCCTAGTAGCTTCTTGTTCCTAGTAGTCTTGCAGAGGTGCAAATATTGTTTTGCTTGTTCCTCGTGGCAAATGTCTCCTGTCATTGCTTCTCTCAAATCACACAACCAGTGGTTTCATCACAGAGCTGAAAAGCTGCACGGCCCAGGTGTGATGAGAGGATCAAGTCTTGGCTCCACAGTTTGTGCATTTCACCTGGCTTGCCCATTCAAGGAAAAGGGCGAAGGATGCAAGTGATGCCGCTTTGCATAAAGACTTTATTTGGGTCTGGTCATCTGGTACTTTGGTGGACTTCGTCGTTGTGGTGATGCTTGGTGCATTTTAATCAATCATACTGTATATCGGTCATTTATGGATTTGTATGATCTTTTGCCCGTTTGAGTATCGAATTAATGTGGCAATCTGTCGTAGAAACCTCTGATTTCTTGCGAAAAATGGTGATCTTCAATACTTATCATGTCGAGTGTCGATGCGTCTGTGCGACATTGGCTGCTGGCCAAGTGTGCCAAATAGATTATGAAGGTTTGACGGCTTTCAGTTCCCTGCGCATGAGCTGGAAATTCATCACACTGGAAGTGGTTGTAGCCATCAGCCTGAACTGGCAGGCACAAATCATCGACCAATTCTGCTTGTTGTACACATAGGAAAACCTGAACTTAAAGCAAAGATGATGATCATCAGTTCACAGCCTTGAACTTTACTGGAAATTTGCCTCCTGACCTCAGGTGCTTTGGTCAGCAATCTCATGACTGCAAATCAGTAATCAAACAGCGTCTTACAAAAGCTGAGCTGGTCGGCCATTCAAAATCCCATTCTGAACCAGCACCATCTCCCAGGAGGAGGGCCTGAAGGCTTGACACTTCAACCAGTGAGACCGTGAAGTTGCTATATGCTTCTTGAAACGTCAGCACCTCAAGCGGAGATAGCTCCCGACTAAAGGCGGCCTCCACTGTGGTAAGAAACAAAAGCGACCCATGTTTTGCCTTCATGTACATCACTCACAAAAGGTCCATGCATTTCTGTGTATGTTGTCTAAAAGCTAGATCCATCTTGCTTGGTGTAGGAGGCATATCTGACTTGAGGTGAATGAAAGCAACTCATTGCTCATCGAGCGTTTCAAAGCATTCGAAAGAAAGTAACCCTTGCCAGGTACAACCAAATGGTCCAAGAGCACCAGAACGAACCAAACTACTTCCGAACTACAAACTCAGTGGCATACTGCCGATTCCATCGGGGAGTGCTCGTCTGAGCCTCGATTATGCCACTATCAAGGTCAAACAGTTCTGCCATTCAACCTTTGCCCGCATTTGCTTGTACCCTTTGCATTCAAGGGCCGTAGCATCACCTGCTGTTTGGGACGACAGCGCCCGTAAATGCAAAGACCTTGGCATTACTTCTCACAGAATTACAAGCGGCTGCGGAAGCTGTCATCCTGACCTAAGAAAGTGCCCTTGTTGGTCAGTTGCTGTTCTTTATGGCTGCCCAAGACCATAGCGCCTAGTGTTGTAGGATCAGGCTGGAGAGCCAGGAACCTATGCAAACCGAAGACCTTCAAACTGGACTGCCAAACCGGGGACCTTTACAAAGAAGACCAAGAAACCCAAGAAGACATGTTTAGATCCCATGTACATCATGCTGCGGACAGCCCAAAAACTGTACAAATTTACTTTGCAAGCAATAGGCAGTCTGGCCTTGCGCCAGTTCTTCTCATCATCGGACTTTGGGACTGCATTCCCCTAAAGTGATGGGCAAACATGCTTGGAAATCTTGTCAAATCACAATTCAGTAAGCTCTGGATGCGTACATCCATGGACTTGGTCTCTGCATCAAATTTCAACTCATACCTGCAGCAATCTGACATCTCAAACTGAAAGGGTCAACTTCAAAACGAGGCTAGCACTTTCCAAATCTTTTCCAGTCTATCCTAAGCTTCACAAGACTCCAAGAGAAGATATCGAACTCCATAAACATGTGCCAAGGCTCTTCACAATGTCTCCTTCTAGCTCCCACCTTTCGACCGAAGCTTGTGAAGTGTCGTCCCGAGTCTTCCATCCGTCTATCGTCAAGGTGAAATGACGTCTGTGCTCTCCAGCGCCTCGAAGGTTGTTGAAACTTCGGACAAAAGAAGACTCCGGCCTTGGAGCTATTAGATCGGAGGCCATTGCTATTAGGGTTGAGGCCATCGCTAGCAGGTTGGAGGCCATCGCCAGTAGAGTGGAGGCCATCGCCAGTAGGGTGGAGGCCATCGCTAGCAGGTTGGAGGCCATCGCTAGCAGGTTGGAGGCCATCGCTCTTAGTTTGTGTTACCTAGCCAAGGCCGCCCTCAATCCTCAGACCAATACCGGTCTGAAGCAAATCGGAAAGCTGCCTCCCGACCAACTTAAATCATACCTCATGTTGTCATGCGAGAAAAACACGAAACAAGCAATGAAGGTTTTGATTCAAAAGCAAATCATGCGTTTGAAGTCTCTGCAGGGCGCACCATCCAACGATGTCAGACCTCAAGCTGACACTTCTCTCCCCAAGCACTGGTCGGTCTGTCAAAAGACATGTGTTTCACCGACCTGTTGAGGCTCAAGCGGCTTCGCCATCGCTTCAAGCACAAGATGGCTCTGCACTTGAGAAAGAGGCGGCAAAGAAAAAAACGATTGGTCAAGGGGAACGAGGCAGCTGAGCTGTTTCACTGGTTCTGCTAAGAGAAAATGACCAAAGCACAGTTTAACATGTTTCAAAATGGATGGTCACTGCCACTTTCAACAGCCTCGAACTCAACTTAGTGACAACGACAAATCTTCAACCAGCTGAACATATCCAGCTGGCCTGTTCTTCGAACATGTGCCAGCAGTGAGGTGACACAGCTATGGCCAAAGGCCCTAACATTGGCCTGGCTGAGAGAATACGTGCATGCCTTCAGCAAGTGCACTTTGTGCTGGTTGGATATGCTGCGTAGTGGGGCCCTTCAGTAGTCGTTGCATCAATTCCATTCGAGGACCAGCAAAGTGACTCTAAGCTGCCACTAACACGGCAGGGACACTGGCAGTGTCTCATTCTCTGCTGGTGGTTCTCCACCTCATAAAACCGAGGAACACTGCTGCGCAATGTGCAACTGAAGTGGCTCTGAGCAGCCATGGCATCGCAAGTGAGTCACAACACACGCAAAGCCTGGCATAAGGGCGCCGTCAACGCCAAAAGCTTTCCTTGGTTGACCAAAAAACAAGCAAATGCAAAAGTGTGCCTTTGCTAGCAACAAACTGCCTGTATTGTCCACACGGTGATCAAAAGTGTTCTGACAAGGAACGCATCTGCATCAGGTGCATCACCAAAGAATTGATCCTACCAATATTGCAAGGTACGCCGCATACAATCTGCATGGAGAAACTGGAAATAATCCCATCCTTGTCATTGTCCAGCAATGCATCTAGCCTGTGATTCGTGTTTCAAAATGCTCGCTCCACTTAATGAGGACTCCTCTCCAAATTACAGGTGTTTGACGTTTCCAATTTGATCAGCTAAACAAGCTAAACAATTCAATTCAAACATGAAGGGTCGGCGAGGTGAATTTGGGTGAGTCCTGCATGGCTCAGGAAAAGGTCGCGAGAAAAGGGGGGAAACACAAAAGTTGGTAGAAAAGCAAGAAGGATCCGAGAAAGCTAGAGGATCCGATCGATCCGACAGGATCGAGCCACTCTCACTGATCCGACCGAACCGATGATCCGAGGATCCGAGTGTTGCGCATCCGATGATCCACTGCAGATCAGATTGATCTCATAATGCTCATGATGTGCTGAGCCGCGTGGGGGTGTAGAACTGATAGTTCGGCATTCTTTTGGAGTTTTACTTGGTGTGCCGAATTTATGCAGCCGTAGGCAATCGTTCCAGTGAAAACATCGCGCTGGTCAAAGTCAAGAGTCATGG